CCCAATTTAATATGTGGATAAATGTAGGCTAAATAAATTAGGGGTTAAATAATTATAGAAAACATAATTGTTGTGGTGATTTTGCTTCAACCTCAGAAGCAAAATAAGTTTTTACTCCAACCTTACAATCCTGAGGTTTTACATCTCTTAAGGCTTCTTCACCTGTTTTCTCATCTCAGCCATAGTTTTCACAAGACCAGACAGCTGCTTGGGTTCAGCTGCAGCATGAAGATTCCTCACAGTCTCAGAGCGCAACTCCTTCTTGTTTGAAGCCATTGATGAAGCTTCTGGAGGGAAGGGGGGGGGGTTACCCCCCCACATATTATAAACAGAGGAAAATCATCAGTCAGGCTTTTGTTCATTTAATAATTAAGGGTTTTTTTTGCTCCATAGTAGATGAATCTGATGGAAATGTGGCATCATGAGATTATTTATTTTCCTGAGTCCAACATTATTCATAAATAATTATGAATTTAACTAAAAAAAATGTCAGTAGAAAAAACAAACAATTCCAAAAAAGTTCAAAACAATCCACTGAACTTTGTTTCCAAGTTTGAAGACGTTTCTCTTCCATCCAGAGAGATTTTTAATTCAGAATGTCAGAAACAGTGTTGAGCTCCAGGCTTTATACAGCAGCCTCCAACTGAAGGCTGTTTCTGACATTTTGAATTGAAAATCCTTCCTGGAAGATAAACCTCTTCAAACTTTGAAACAAAGTTCAGTGGATCGTTTTTAAATGTTTTGGAATGACTCTGACCTGAATGACTGAGAATCTTCACCAGCAAAAAACACAATAATTACATTAATTTACCACCAAGGAACAAACTAACCAAATAAACCACCGAGCAGTCACCTCTTAACAATAAATATTAGTTCAATTTTCGTTTTAATGAATGTCAGATTTATTGTGTGTAACAGAGAGTTTATTATTTGTTTTCATGCTTTAAAAAAAAATCCTATAAAAAAACCCAATAATATGTTTAAACTTTAAAGTAGGAAAGCAGCAGGAAACTGAGGCTTTTCTTCAAGCACAGTTTTTAAGTTAAACGGTGAAAATGTTTGTTGGAGCTTACCTGATTTTCCAGGTGCAGAAAGACACGTGCCGGAAGTTTACGCCCCTTTTAAGGCAGAGACGCTCCCGGTTACCGTAAACATTGGAAGAGACGCGCAGCGCTCCACGGCCGTTAGATCCAGACCGCTGAGGGATTTCTGAGTTTCTTTCTCTATAATGAGGCTCCTGGCCTGGAGAGGAAGTTATCAGGAGGAAAAACAGAACACAACATTTTGAAAAGGCGGATTTGGGCATAAACTGTATGAATGGATCGGTTGGAAATGGAGAAAGAAAAGGAGGAAGAAGATTAGATTTTGAAGGGTGAACGCCAGGAGAGAGAGGAAGAAATAAAACAGACGAAGGGAAGGGAAGTGGTGATATTCAAGGAAGTAAAGGAAAACTGGAAGGAAGTTCAGAGGAAGAAAGGATAGT